CCCATGGACACATTCCCCAGGCCATAAAAAAGAATAGGTTGGTTTGCCCTAACCCGACCGACCCATAAAAAAGCACCTGAGTCAAAATCTTTTTTTAATCAAAATTCTCGATGTTTTTTTTTTTTTGCAGAGTTTTGTCGTATCCGTATCTGTCTTCAGTTAGTTGCATAGAATAACCTGATCCGATCTGAGCGCGCTTTATCACAGGAAAATTTGTGTTATGTATTAACATGATTAAAGCCTCCAATTGATACGGATGAAAAACAACATGTTTCCGTCTAGTACAAATAAAGGTTGGATTAAAATCAAACCCTGTAGTTTCCAACAAATTCTATCGTTTTGAAAACGCAAAAACATTTGATAAAGTGTGTGATGACGATTTCATGCTACGGAAAACTGATGAAATTTGTGTGACTGTCTCTGACCGATCGGGATACTCGTTTGAGCCCGATTTTGAGGAACCAATCCAAGTTGTTCAGGAATTTGATTCGGCATTAAAATTTGATTAACATGATATTATTCTGACAGAAGTTCTGTCAACAGTGTTTTGTTCAATTGTTTTGTATTTGAATTTTGTATTCAAATAAACTTCTTCTTAGTATAAGCCTCCTTTAATTAGGAGACCCTCCAAATATATATGGAGTTTTTCCTTAACTTTAAAATTTTAAAGAATAAAACATGTAAAACAAAAACTTTTTTTCCAACATATGTACAGCACATATAAATATAAAACAATAAAAGTATCATGCATGGCATATTTACAGGGACCTTTTTATTAGCTCACCTGACCTGAAAGGTCAAGTGAGCTTTTCTCATCACTTTGCGTCCGTCGTCCGTCGTCCGTAAACTTTTACAAAAATCTTCTCCTCTGAAACTACTGGGCCAAATTTGACCAAACTTGGCCACAATTATTATTTGGGTATCTAGTTTAAAAAATGTGTCCGGTGACCCTGCCAACCAACCAAGATGGCCGCTATGGCTAAAAATAGAACATAGGGGTAAAATGTAGATTTTGGCTTATATCTCTGAAACCAAAGCATTTAGAGCAAATCTGACATGGGGTAAAATTGTTTATCAGGTCAAGATCTATCTGCCCTGAAATTTTCAGATGAATCGGACAACCCGTTGTTGGGTTGCTGCCCCTGAATTGGTAATTTTAAGGAAATTTTGTAGTTTTTGGTTATTATCTTGAATATTATTATAGATAGAGGTAAACTGTAAACAGCAATAATGTTCAGCAAAGTAAGATCTACAAATAAGGCAACATGACCAAAATTGTCAATTGACCCCTTAAGGAGTTATTGCCCTTTATAGTCAATTTTTTACAATTTTCATAAATTTTGTAAATTTTTGTAAATTTTTAAAAGTATTTTCCACTGTAACTACCGGGCCAAGTTCATTATAGATAGAGATAATAGTAAGGAGCAAGAATATTCAGTAAAGTAAGATCTACAAACACATCACCATCACCAAAACACAATTTTGTCATGAATCCATCTGTGTCCTTTGTTTAATATGCACATAGACCAAGGTGAGCGACACAGGCTCTTTAGAGCCTCTAGTTAATTATTTAATTTCATTTTCATAGCTTTTAATATTTGTCCAGAGCTTCTTTACATTTCTTACAATTGTTATATGACAGACTCTGTGTCGGTATATATATGTCACTTATGATAATCACTATTTTCATTTGTTTGTCATTTCCTCCATTTTGAGATATATGTATATATATACGTATGTGCAAATTCAGCAATATATGTCTTGCTATTTGTTGTCCATAATTTTCAATCTTTTATATGCATTTGGAATAACATATTTCTGGTTTTGTTTTCATTATTTTCCTAGAATTTTTCACAGTTATTAAACAGCTCCTTATATTTTGAACAGTCTATAAGCAATTGTACTATCACAGTTTTGTTCGTGAAGGTGCAGTTCCATTTTGTTGGTGTGATTTTATCAGTGATCTCTTTTCTTATTTCAGGGAAATATTTTTCTCTCGTAGTACTGAATATAAACTCGTTTAAAATGTGTGTCTGTATTTACAATGTAAACATTCAGAAAAAAGTGTGAACATTGAGGTGGAATGCTGAAAAAAACTTAATAGAAAAGATCTTTTATACTACATATAGATCCTGGCATATATGTGTCTGACAATTTATACAAAACTCTATAATAGTCTTTCATTTTAAAAGTTGTTTACAAGGTAAAATAATTTGTTCCCCTATTTTTCTCTAAAAGTAAAAAAAAAAAGAATTTCCCTATCTATCTACCCACACATGAGACTGGTGGGTAGGGTTTGGGCAAACAGAAATATTTTTAAGTCTGGCCTAAGTCAAACTCACACCGTCTATAAAGTCAACTCACACCGTCTATAATTACATCTCAGACTAAGTATGAAATTAAAGTTTTGACCAAATAAATGATTTAATGAAAAAGACTGTGTCTGAAGAGATGTCTCTAATAAAGTTTTAATGCGATCTTGAGGACTTTATGATTAATTTCTCAACGACCTGTAATTTATAATGAGCTTGTGTAATTTGATTATCACTTTCTTGGTCATTTAATTAGAATAATTACATGTAAATATACATTATTGATTGTTGACTTAATTTTATTTAATCATTATGATGAAAGACCAAATTTAATTTACAGATTAATTTTAAAAGTTTGTTTAATGAATTATGAAGGTTTTAATTTTTATTCAAAATGAAGAAGTAGAAATGAAAATCTACACTAAAGGAAACTTTGATGTGAAATATAATATGTTATCATATAAATAGCACACACTCTTTGTTTACATTTTGTTGGCACTATAGACTGCCTGAGTTGACTTTAACATAAGAAATAAAGAATTCAACAAATTTATAAAGTGAATGTAACCTATCAAAATAATAATCTAGAGTGCTAGACTTAAATTTTATAATAATTTGATAAAGATGTCATTTATTTTGTATGACATATTTTGTAAAATTTGATTTTTTCAATATCCATGTTGTTTTAGGACCTTGTGTTTGAACTTTCATGTATTTATGATAAACAACATGAACAATATCTATATTTCAAGCTTTGTCAAGTTTCAGAGATACTTAGAATTTACTTGTACTGAGGGTTAATGCAATTTGATGCATAAAATCCTACCTCTGGTTTTTTTGGGGGTTGTGTTGCTCATTCATTATTTTACTGGTTTTTTTTTGTTGACTTTGGTTTATCTATTGTTAATTTCTGGCATTTACCTAATGTTTAGTCCTAATGGTTATAGTTTTTATTCTTATTTTTTATTACAATGTTCAGTTATTTTAATCAACCAACCAACCAACCCCCCTTTTCCCTGTGTCAGTTGAAATAATCATCCCTTTCTTTATTCACATTACATCTACACAAACCCAACTGACTGATGGTTTTCATCCCCAATATTCAGACACGGCATTGGTCTGACCCCGCAATAGTCTGACACCGCATTAGTCCAACTCTGAATTGTTATACAATAGTCTGTATCTTTTTTTATATGACCGCAAAAAAATTTTGGGGTCATATATTGCTATCATGCCGTTGTCTGCGTCGTCCGAAGATATTTGGTTTCCGGACAGTAACTTTAGTTTAAGTGTATGGATCTCTATGAAATTTAATCAAAAGGTTCACTACCACAAAAGGAAGGTTGGGGTTGTTTTTGGGGGTGATGGTCACAATCGTTTAGAAATTAGGGGCCAAAAAGGGGCCCAAAACAAGCATTTATCTAGTTTTCAGACAATAACTTGTGTTTAAGTGTATTGATGTCTCTTACATTGTACCACATTTTACAAAAATAAAATTTCTTCAAATTTTATTTTTTTGGGGAAAAGGGGGTGGGGTGAAAAAAAAAATTTAGGGGGGGTGGGTTAAATTTTTTTCCCTCAAGATTTAAGAAATTGTCAATTTTTCAAAGAGAAATTGGGGGTCACAATTTATTTTGCTAATTCTTTGTATATAAAATTGAGAATGGAAATGGGGATATAGTCTGAAAACAGATTAATACTAAGTATTGCGCAACAGCACAGTGTATTGCACAAAAGCTAGAAATCTTCAATTGAATATAAATTCAAATCATATAACCAATTTAAAGTTCTTTGACTACATTTATTCTGTGTCAGAAACCTATAATGTGTCAAATATTTAATTACTATCCAAATTCAGACCTGTATCAAGCTTGAATATTGTGTCCATTTTTGTCCCAACTGTTCAGGGTTTGACCTCTGCGGTCTTATCCAGCTGTGCTCGGCGAAGCAGTTTATTTTATATTAGAAAGTCTGATAACTTGCTTATTTAATATACACACTGTGTTAGGAACAGACGGCCCTGACCATTGAATGATCAAGAACAGTCAAAGCTAGCTATCAAGGCAGATTGGTGTACAAGTATTATTGAAAGATAACTAAATGAAATCTTTCAGAATCAGTCACAATATTCATGATATTAGCATTGATTAGGCTACTTGCACAGGTATAAGACCAGATTTGAAATAAAATATTAATGTTTACTGAATACACTCATACCTGTGACTAATTGAGGTTGCAGAATTGCTTATTTGAATACACATTAATATTGGTCCCGGCATCAGCAGCAATTATTAGATAAGTTACTTAGTACTTCATGAGCGATTACTAGGTGGTCTTACTGATAACATTCTGCTTCTGTAGATGACTATGTCATAGTAGGAAACAGGAAAAGGGCAGTGCGACTAAATACTGGACTGGGATCTGAACTTAAAAAAATTGATGGTACATTTGTACGTGTAAATTTTGTTTTCTTAAGAATCCATTTGATTATCATGATTATTATTGGACTCTTTACACTTGGTTAGGGCTTAAATAGGTAAAGTTGTATGGAACTTGGCACAAATATTTGGAAACTGACAACTTAAAAGCAGTCACTGACAATTTATAAAAGTCTTTCAAATATCATTTGCTTTTATTCGTTTCATTTCTGTATTGTATATTGATACCGGTATGCCTTATATATTTTAGGGTTCCACTCATTGAAGAATCTAGTTATTGAAAGAAATGGCAGCAGCAGAGACAGAAACTTGTGGAAATAGTAAATTTCTACCATTGGCTTGTCCACAGCCTGGTGTAACATATCCAATACAAATTTCTTATTGTGGAGGTATGTTATGTATATATTATACCCCACTCTAGGAGTGGTGCAATATTGCATTCACCTTGTCCATGTTGTCCGTTCTTCCAACAAATATTTCCATAATCACACTTGCCTCAGGTACTAAGAACAGAATGACTTTATATTTGGTTAGCAGCTTGACAGTGATGAATTGTGATGTGTGAGCTCTTTTCATATCTGTATAACACCTACTTCTTGTATTCCCAGCATGTTGGGCAGCTGGAGATATGGTAACAGTCTCCATCCATCTGTATGTCTCTTCAAAACACATTAAGACCGTTTGACATAAAGCTTTCATACATTCAGACATTTGTTGTCATATTCTCTTGACAATGCTATAAAATCAGTTTGATTTGACATTACGGTAATCCCATGACCATAACTCCAGTAAAATCTGACTTTGACCATGTTTTTCTGGTATTGTAACAATGACATTTTGTGAACGCAACTTATCTAATTCGGCATTACAGAAAGCTCTCATACTTAGTTGGATTGTTTGCCATCATGTATTGATGACCATGTTGAACCAAAGAGTATTTTTACAGGAGTTGTGGACAATGTTTAGCTCACCTGGCTTAAAGGGCCATGTGAGCGTTTGCAATCACTTGGTTTCCATCATCTTTGTCCATCTTCATAGAATTTTTAAAAAAAATGTCTTTTCTGAAACTACTTGGTAAAATGTTACCAAACTTTACCTGATTGTTCCTTAGGATATCTAGTTAAAAAAATTAAATTTTGGGATATGATCCATCAATAAACACGACAGCTGTTTCTTAAAATAGAACATAGGGTAAAATGCAGTTTTTGGCTTACATCTCAAAAAAACTAAAGCAGCTAGAGCAAATCTGATACAAGATAAAAGGGATCAGCAGGTCAGGGTTGACATTAACAGCTGAAACATTGTCAGGGACAAGCAATAATCATCATGATCATCATCGGAAAAGTAAAGCTGCAGTGCACATGTACATATCCAATGGGGAAGTGAAAAAAAAAGGTTAAAAATTGTGAAAAATACTGAATCTAGTCTTAATTAGGAGGTATATCTCTTTTCATCAATAAATCATCGTGTCAATCAGCACAGAAAAGATCAACAAATTTACAAAATTTTAGTATTTTCATTTAGTAGACAATATTTTGAAAATACTGGCCAGTGGCCAATCAGAGTATGATTCTGTTGCTGAAGTATTATTTGATGAACCAATCAAATTAGACCTAGCTATTGTAGCAAAACTATCTTGGACACAATAATATGAATTTAAGATCACCTTAATATCACCGATTTTTGAAACCTTGAACTAAAGTGAAATTAAGGAAGATTTAAAGATGTATACAAAATAAATTTTAACCTTTATATCTTTATTGATTAGTTTTTCAACGTGCAGCACTACTAACTTTATCTAAGTTTCTGTGGGTAAAAATATACAAGAGCCGATCATTATCAATCCCATATTAACTACTTTGACCGAAAAAATTGTTTTATTCCCATTGTTCTAATTGGATAGATAGGTAACATTACATTCTATATTAACATTTCCGAGCACTTGTGATTTAATTTGGCATGGCAGCTGACTCATGCCATGGGAAGTTTTATTCCAATTGTTCTAATTGGATAGATAGGTAACATTACATTCTAAATTAACATTCCTGAGGACTTGTGATTTAATTTTGCATGGCAGCTGACTCATAGGAAGTTTTATTCCCATTGATCTAATTGGATAGATACACTGTAGGTAACATTACATTCTAAAATAACATTCCCAAGCATTTGTGATTTAATATGGCATGGCAGCTGACTCATAGGAAGTTTTATTCCCATTGATCTAATTGGATAGATACACTGTAGGTAACATTACATTCTAAAATAATTGCTTTTATCTTACCTTCTATAGATTTATGGGGATATGATTGGTTAATCGACTACATGTGGTGACCGTATATATTTCATATAGGGTGTCCTAAAAAATACATGGTTAGTTACCATATACGGTTAGCAATCATATGGGGCTAGTAAGGGGTTACTTCCCTTTTAAAACAAAAATGATATCTGAAAGGTTTTAAACAGACGAAGAAACTGGTAATAAACGATTGAAATACATTCATAAAACAAATTTAAAGCTGACACGTTGTTATTGTTGGCATTTGTTTTTTGTATAGACAAATGGAAGTAGGTTCTTAAACATGTTAAAATTAAGTATTGAAGTCTTTTAAATCACTTTGATAGGCCGCTAGTCTTAATACCACATGGGAAGATAGTCGGTAAGATAAATTCGTTACACGGTGTGCTAGTGACCTAATACGATTTGATTTTTATGGGGGGCTAGGATGAAAAATTTTGTCCTGCATTTTTTTTAGTTGTAATCTCTGTCCTGCTTTTTTATTTTTCACTCAATTCGGTCCTGCCTTTTTCATGTTTTTGTAGCGGTGGGGGCATTAAGTTTCACCATTGTCCCGTCTGTACGTACGTACATACGAACGTACGTCCCAAAATTGGTTTCCGTTCTTTAACTTGAGTTTGCCTCAACCAAATGTTATAAAACTTATACACAATGCTTATTTTCACAAAACACAGATCAAGTTTGAATTTTGGTGGCGTCACTTTAACCGTTCTAGAGTAATGCCTCTTTATAAATGGAAAAATTGCAAAATTTTTAGTTTCCGTTCTCTAACTTAAGTTTGCCTCAACCAAATGTTATGAAACTTATACACAATGCTTATAACCACAAAACACAGATCAAGTGTGAATTTTGGTGGCGTCACTTTAACCGTTCTAGAGTTATGCCCCTTTATAAATTGAAAAATTGTAAAATTTTTATTTTCTTCTAAATATCAAGTAATTTTTATACGCCCGTTTACAGGACGTATTATGGTATACCGTTGTACGTCCGTCTGTCCGTCCGTCCGTCCGTCCGTCGTCAACATGTCGGACATTAACTCAAAAATGCTTTAACCAATTTGCATAAAACTTTGGTGAATTGTTTATTTCTATTAACGTGAGCTCCCTTTCGTTTTTTATAAATTTTAGATTTTACGTTTCCGAGTTATGGGGTTTTATTCATTATAAAAAAAGGGGATTTTCAAGTTTTCGGACAATAACTCAAAAATACTGTCTACAAATCTCATGACACTTTGATGAATTGTTTATATCTATTGATGTAAGCTCCCTTTACATTTTCATAAATTTCTAATATGACATTGAGAATTAATTGAACTTTATTTGTTTATAGTCTGAAAACAGATTTACCGGTACTAAGTATTGCGCAACAGCAAGAAATCTTTAATTGAATATAAATTCAATTCATATAACCAATTTCAAGTTCTTTGACTACATTTATTCAGAAACCTATAATATGTCAAATATTTAATTACAATCCAAATTCAGACTTGTATCAAGCTTGAATATTGTGTCCATTTTTGCCCCAACTGTTCAGGGTTGGACCTCTGCGGGCGTATCCAGCTGCACTCAGCGAAGCAGTTTATTAGTTTCTGTTCTCTACTTAAGTTAGCCTCAACCAAATGTTATGAGACTTACACACAATGCTATTACCACAAAACTCAGATCAAATTCAAATTTGGGTAGCGTCACTTTTACCGTTCTTCAGTTATGTCCCTTTATAACTATATGCTATGCAAGTGGGGGCATCATCTGTGTCCACATGTGGACACTATCCAAATTTATTTTTTATATGTTTATCCTGACTTTTTTAGCTCATCGGGCCCAAAGGGCCCTATGTGAGCTTATGCCATCACTTGGCGTCCGTCGTCTGTCGTCGTCGTCTGTTGTCGTAAACTATTTCAAAAATCTTCTCCTCTGAAACTACTGGGCCAAATACCTTCAAACTTTAACTAGATGTTCCTTAGGGTATCTAGTTTATAAATTGTATCCGAAGTTTTGATCCATTGGCAAACATGGCGGCCATGGCTAAAAATAGAACATAGAGGTCAAATGCAGTTTTTGGCTTATATCTCAAAAACTAAAGCTTTTAGAGCAAATCTGACATAGGTAAAATTGTTCAATTGGTCAAGATCTATCAGCTCTGAAATTTTCAGACGAATCGAACAACCCATTGTTGGGTTGCTGCCACCGAATTGGTAGTTTTAACAAAATTTTGCAGTTTTTTGTTATTATTTTGAATATTATTATAGATATATATAAACTGTAAGCAGCAATAATGTTCAGCAAAGTAAGATCTACAAAAAAGTTAATATGACCATAATTGTCAATTGACCCCTTAAGGAGTTATTGCCCTTTAAAGACATTTTTACACAATTTGTTCAAGTTTGCTAACATTTAAAAATCTTCTCCTCTGAAACTACTGGGCCAATTAGCTTCAAACTTTAACTGAATGTTCCTTAGGGTATCTAGTTTATAAATTGTATCCGAAGTTTGTATCCATCGAAAACATGGCCGCCATGGCTAATAATAGAACATAAGGGTCAAAAGCAGTTTTTGGCTTATATCTCAAAAACTAAATCTTTTAGAGCAAATGTGACAGGGGTAAAATTGTTTAATTGGTCAAGATCTATCGGCCCTGAAATTACCATTGTTGGGTTGCTGCCACCGAATTTGTAGTTTTAACAAAATTTTGCAGTTTTTAAAAGACCGGTCGTATATTGGTATGACGTTGGCGTCGTCGTCGTCCGAAGACACATTGGTTTTCGCACTCTAACTTTAGTTTAAGTGAATGGATCTCTATGAAATTTTACCATAAGGAACCCGAAACCTCTGAAACTACTGGGCCAATTACTTTCAAACTTTAACTGAATGTTCCTTAGGGTATCTAGTTTATAAATTGTATCCGAAGTTTGTATCCATCGACAAACATGGCCGCCATGGCTAAAAATAGAACATAAGGGTCAAATGCAGTTTTTGGCTTATATCTCAAAAACTAAATCTTTTAGAGCAAATAAACTCATCATAGATACCAGGATTAAATTTTGTGTTTACGCCAGACGCGAGTTTCATCTACAAAAGACTCATCAGTGACGCTCTTTCCAAAAAAGTTTAAAAGGCCAAATAAAGTACGAAGTTGAAGAGCATTGAGGACCAAAATTTCTAAAAGTTTTGCCAAATACAGCTAAGGTAATCTATTCCTGAGGTAGAAAAACCTTAGTATTTCAAAAATTCAGAAGTTTTGTAAACAGTTAATTTATAAATATGACCATATCAATGATAATTCATGTCAACACAGAAGTGCTGACTACTGTGCTGGTGATACCCTCGGGGAATTAAAACTCCACCAGCAGTGGCATCAACCCAGTGGTTGTAAATAAACTCATCATAGCTACCAGGATTAAATTTTGTGTTTACGCCAGACGCAGGTTTCGTCTACAAAAGACTCATCAGTGACGCTCGAATCCAAAAAAGTTAAAAAGGCCAAATAAAGTACGAAGTTGAAGAGCATTGAGGACCAAAATTTCTAAAAGTTTTGCCAAATACAGCTAAGGTAATCTATTCCTGAGGTAGAAAAACCTTAGTATTTCAAAAATTCAGAAGTTTTGTAAACAGTTAATTTATAAATATGACCATATCAATGATAATTCATGTCAGCACAGAAGTGCTGACTACTGGGCTGGTGATACCCTCGGGGAATTGAAACTCCACCAGCAGTGGCATCGACCCCTTGGTGTGACATGAGGTAAAATTGTTTAATTGGTCAAAATCTATCGGCCCTGAAATTATCAGACGAATCGAACAACCCATTGTTGGGTTGCTGCCACCGAATTGGTAGTTTTAACAAAATTTTGCAGTTTTTATACGACCGCAAAAAAATTTTGTGGTCGTATATTGGTATGACATTGGCGTCGTCGTCGTCCAAAGACACATTGGTTTTCGCACTCTAACTTTAGTTTAAGTGAATGGATCTTTTTGAAATTTGACCATAAGGTTAAATACCACAAAAGGAAGGTTGGGATTGATTTTATGGGTTTTGGTACCAACAGTTAAGGAATTAGGGGCCAAAAAGGGGCCAAAAATAAGCATTTTCTAGTTTCCAGACAATAACTGTGGAACGGTGTATGGATCTCTCTGAAATTATACTACAAGTTTCCATACCACAAAGGGATGGTTAGGATTTGCTTTGGGGGGTTATGGCTCAAACCGTTTAGGAATTAGGGGCAAAAAAGGGGGAAAAACAAGGTTGTCCTGGTTAATGGACAAATACTTTAGTACAAAACATAATTTAAAGCAGTGTAAGGGAGATAAATCAAATACATCATTGAAATTATCTCCCTTACACTGCTTTTAAATTATGTATAAAGTAATGGTTAATGAACAATAAAGATAATTTAAAACAGTGTAAGGGAGGTAATCCAAATACAACGTTTTGGTTACTTCCCTTACACTGCTTTTAAATTATGTTTAAAGAAATGCATATTTATAAAGGAAGACCAGTAAAAATATCTGCAAATGTTGCATCTTTTTTTTTTACAAAAAAATCCATATGAAGGTCCAAAGGGTCCAAAATTAAACTTTGTTTGATTTTAGCAAAAATTGAATATATGAGGTTCTTTGATATGCTGAATCTAAACATGTATTTAGATTTTTGACTATGGGCCCAGTTTTCAAGTTGGTCCAAGTTGGGGTCCAAAATTAAACTTTTTTTGATTTCAACAAAAATTGAATATATGGGGTTCTTTGATATGCTGAATCTAACCATGAATTTAGATTTTTTATTTGTGGGCCCCGCTATCAAATTGGTTCATATTGAGGTCAAAAGGGTCCAAAATTAAACTTTGTTTGATTTCATCAAAAATTGAATTATTGGGGTTCTTTGATATTCCAAATCTAACCGTGTATTTAGATTTTTAATTTTAAGTCCCGTTTTTTAAATTGGTCTACATTAAGGTCCAAAGGGTCCAAAATTAAACTTAGTTTGATTTTAGCAAAAATTGAATTCTTGGGGTTCTTTGATATGCTGAATCTAAACATGTATTTAGATTTTTGATTATGGGCCCAGTTTTCAAGTTGGTCCAAATTGGGGTCCAAAATTAAACTTTGTTTGATTTCAACAAAAATTGAATATATGAGGTTCATTGATATGCTGAATCTAACCATGTATTTAGATTTTTTATTTGTAGGCCCTGCTATCAAATTGGTTCATATTGAGGTCAAAAGGGTCCAAAATTAAACTTTGTATGATTTCATCAGAAATTGAATTATTGGGGTTCTTTACTATGCCAAATCTAACCGTGTTTTTAGATTTTTAATTTGGGTCCCGTTTTTTAAATTGGTCTTCATTGAGGTCCAAAGGGTCCAAAATTAAACTTAGTTTGATTTTAACAAAAATTGAATTCTTGGGGTTCTTTGATATGCTGAATCTTAACATGTGTTTAGATTTTTGACTATGGGCCCAGTTTTCAAGTTGGTCCAAGTTGGGGTCCAAAATTAAACTTTTTTTGATTTCAACAAAAATTGAATATATGGGGTTCTTTGATATGCTGAATCTAACCATGAATTTAGATTTTTTATTTGTGGGCCCCGCTATCAAATTGGTTCATATTGAGGTCAAAAGGGTCCAAAATTAAACTTTGTTTGATTTCATCAAAAATTGAATTATTGGGGTTCTTTGATATTCCAAATCTAACCGTGTATTTAGATTTTTAATTTTAAGTCCCGTTTTTTAAATTGGTCTACATTAAGGTCCAAAGGGTCCAAAATTAAACTTAGTTTGATTTTAGCAAAAATTGAATTCTTGAGTTCTTTGATATGCTGAATCTAAACATGTGTTTAGATTTTTGATTATGGGCCCAGTTTTCAAGTTTGTCCAAGTTGGGGTCCAAAATTAAACTTTGTTTGATTTTAACAAAAATTGAATATATGGGGTTCTTTGATATGCTGAATCTAACCATGTATTTTGATTTTGGACATTGGACCATAATAGGTAAATTAAAAAAAAATCAAGTTCTTAGACCACATTCTTTCAGTGTCAGAAACCTATGCTGTGTCAAATATTTAATAACAATCCAAATTCAGAGCTGTATCAAGCTTGAATGTTGTGTCCATACTTGCCCCAACTGTTCAGGATTCGACCTCTGCGGTCGTATCAAGCTGCGCCCCAGCGAAGCATTTTATTTGTTATTATTTTGAATATTATTATAGATATATATAAACTGTAAGCAGCAATAATGTTCAGCAAAGTAAGATCTACAGAAAAGTTAATATGACCAAAATTGTCAATTGACCCCTTAAGGAGTTATTAGGGCCCCACCGAATGGCGGCCACCCTATAGTGATCAGCCTGTCCGTCCGTCCGTAACAAATCGTGTCCGCTCTATATCTAGAGAACTGTTATGATTTCAAAGTTTATACTTGACATGTATATTAACCAAAAACCAAAGGGTGTGTCATAATGTATGTTCAAATTCCTAGGTCAAAGGTCAAGGTCAAAAACTTTGGTTTTAGTTGACAACCCCATGTCCTATGGTAAAGATCGTGTCCGCTCTATATCTTGAGAACCGTTATGATTTCAAAGTTTATACTTGATATGTATATAAACCAACACCAGAGGGTGTGTCATAATTTATGTACAACTTCCTAGGTCAAAGGTCAAGGTCAAAAACTTTGGTTTCATTTGACAACCCCATGTCCAATGATAAAGAAACAAATTTTTTACCACACATTATTCATAGTGGGGCCCACAGAGATGGCTCCCATCTCAATGATATCTAGTTGCCCTTTAAAGACAATTTTACACAATTTGTTCATCAAGATTGCTAACATTTAAAAATCTTCTCCTCTGAAATACAGGTGAGCAATTCAGGCTCTTGAGAGCCTCTTGTTTTTCAAATTTCATCCTAGCCCCCCAACCCCCCCCCCCCCCATAAAAATCAAATGGTAGCTCCCTAATACATTTGTTACAATTGCAGAATATTTTTTGTTTTATTCAATTTTTTTTAAAACTTAGCCATATAAGGAGAGATTCAGATTATGTAACTTTTGTAAATGAATGTGTTTTGAATTTGAAAAAATGCATGATATAAACTACATTTTGGCAAATTACTAAAACATTCTATCAATTTCAGTTTAGAACCTCCCCCACCCCCTCCATCTACCTTAAATGATTGTATGGTAAGGGCCCTATTTGGCCCCAAATATTTAACCATTTCATACCGAATGTATCCTTTTGGCACCTTCGTGCACATGCAGAAATTATTCTTTTGGCACACCGGTCCAGATGCCGAATGTATCCTTAAGGATACATAAATTTCTATTTTAGGACAAGTCACAATGCAAACAATCGCTGTCAAGTGTTTCATTTCGAGTTAAAACATTTAGAAAACTTAACCTGCAGTCTTGAAAGTAGTTGAGTTTGTACAAAAGTAATAAATGTACGTATATTTTGGAGTTGTGAGAGGGATAATTGGGAAACAACCTGAAATCGAGACTTTGATTGTCGTCAGCAGGTGCACGACTGTAACTTTTTATTTCTCTGCCATTTGACAGTCAATCGTTCATTACCGAATGAATCAGAGTTTTTACTGTCATTATAGACACTTTGGGGAGGCTGTGGTGCTACAGGTTCTATTTCTTTTCATCGAAAAGAAACTTGGTCGGCTGAAGGTCGAGAAAATGAAACTCCACTTTCATTAAAAATAGAACGGAATATGTATGTATGAATGTATGTATGTTCTGTATCTTCCCCCTTTAGTAGGAGCACCACCATGGATTTCAGTGTAAAGGAGGACATTTAACACACTGTATCGGTACAGATTTAATGTGAGCATTTGCATTTGCCTACCCAGTTTCCCAGCCTGGCCGTGACGGGTCTTACTACCAGAAAGTTAACCTTCCCCAAAAACAATAAGTACAATGCAATAAAACATACGAACACACCCACTCACCTGATTCGCTCATCCTCAAAAATATAAAAAAATGCAAAATATAATAACAATTGTATACAAAATAAAGGATAAGGTCACCCCGGATGCTGCACAAATGCCAAGGTAAATAACGGGAAACCGGTAAGGACACACTTGGATTCCAAACAGAAATGCCCAGCTGTTTTCCTGGTAGAGGAAAGCCGAAAATCCTATGATAAAGGATCTCGGAAAGAAACTACCGATGCATTAGGTGAACAGCTAAAACCCTCGGACATCAAATAGATTGGTCTGATAGTTTCCAACTACTAATGGATCCCATCCGACCACATGTCTCAAACAAACCTGAAAATATCTTCAGAAACTTTCCTCAACAAAAAAATATAATCCAAAACATAAAATGTACGATGTAAGGATAATAATATTTATCCATGAAACCAATTTGACAATATACATTTATTTCGGAGGGAGATATGAAGATTTGTTCACCCAAGAATATTCATATTTCACAAGGGCTCTGCCCGAGGGAAATATGATTTTTCGAGGGTGAGCAAATCTTCATATCTCCCGAGGCAAAGGGAAATGAATGTTTTATTCCACTGCCTATGCTTTGTTTACTATCAATACATTAAATATTATTTTGCATACGTTTTTTTTTTCTTATCATGCTTATACGCTTGTTTTTGTAAGTCAAACTAAACACGACATACCCATTGATAAACAGTAAGGATCAAAATTTAATTATAAGTCTTTTTGTTTTATCGTCTGAAATAAATTTGAACATGATAATGATTTTTGCTATCGCTATTTTAATAAGAATAAGAAGTCCAAAACGTTATGTACATTAACCGCGCGTAACGTGGCATGAAGTAATCCCGACATTTCAGAGGCACTGTGTATCATCGCCACCGGAAATTGGGTACTAACGAAGCGGCGAGAAATGGAAAAAAAAGTAAACAAGGTAAGGATTCATTCAATTTAAAGCATTTCTACTGATTTGACGAGGGTACCGCTTAAGAAATGATTTTCTGATATATAATTCTTTAAATTATTAGGCCGATAAGTACAAAATTAAGACAAGATTTTGTGTTATACTCAAGAACTTGCCACTTAGTACCTGAAAATTTCGAGGTCGATCGTCCTCTGTCGCCCCATTGGCAAGATATTCAACTGTTTTTCATTATTTTTCCAGACACTTTTTTAGATTATGATAGTGTGGCATCATATTTACAGAAATTTGTTGTCAAAATGAACGTTTTTAAAGAATAAAGACCATAAAAAATAAAGTCTAGGGTACGGCAACTTGCTCATGTTGACAAATTTACTGTATGGCAACTTGTTTTCAACTCTATGGCAACTTGCTAATTTCAAAATATTTATTTGCCGTCTTTTTAAAGAAAATAAAGTATCAGGTTCAAATATCTAATTATGCATTTGATAAAAATACAATTCGCTTGACACCATTTAAGATGTATACACAATATAAGGCTTGAACACAGTCCTATTACATCTTTTACATACCTGATGTATACAATATGAATACGGCATATACAAAAGCTGGCAAATGTTGTAACTTTCGGAAAGGCATGTCACTGTTTTACAGACCTGTTGTTCTGCCCTGACGTAGCGTTAAATGTTACCCATGTCCGTCCGACCCGTCTCTCCCGTCCGTCCAGAAAGTCCCAATATTGGTTTCCGTTCTCTAACTTTAGTATGCCTTAACCAAATGTTTTAAAACTTACACGAAATGCTAATCACCACAAAACACAGATCAAGTTATAGATTGGGTAGCGTCACTGTTACCGTTCTTGAGTTATGCCCTTTTATAAATGAAAAAAAGCTAAAGCTGTCGTTTCTGTTCTCAAACTTTAGATTTCCTCAACCAAATGTTTTAACCATACAACATTAGTCAGCATTTGCATATAAGTGATGAACATTTCGGGGATGGGTTGTGGGTGGAGGGAAGGAAGGAGGTAATGGCAGGAGAATTTTTCCGCATTGAATATTTAGAACTATTAAGTGAATGAATTATCTTTCAACTTTCAGATAAAATGAAATATAAATGAATTATCATTCTCTGCCAAAAAAAATGTTGTATTGCTACACCACGGCACCATGTTAAGGGAGGTTTGAGTGCTCACAAACATGTTTAAGCCCGCCTCAATATATATGTGTCTGTCCCTGGTCAGGAACATGTAATATAGCGTAAGTTGCTGCCTGACATATTTGTTTATGATTTTGTCATAAATCAGGCAATTTTGATACGGTATGGGTTTTGTTCATTGTGAAGTGTATAGTAACCAATAGTTGGTCAAATCTATTTCATTTGGACTTTGTTTGAAAGTCCTCTCAGTGAAAACCATTCCACGTCTCCTTTTTCAGTTATTGTCTTATTTGTAAAAGGCAGATACAGCCAATATATTAGAATAAAGAACATTAATTTTCTAAAAAAAAAATTCATCTCTATATAGAAAGAAATGAACAAGCTCGGTGGCTAACACTGTTTAAATTTTTAAAAAATATTAACCTTAGATTAATCATTTTTGGAAAGAATGAAAGAAGAATCCGATACAAGGGATACAAATCCGGCTGTGGCTACGGCATAAACTATTTATATACACTTTCTACTTGAGAATAAAGATGACCTTGTATGAAGTTTTTTTTGGTTGTCATTTTAATATTATATACTTATTAATACAATTCACAAAAGCTAGCATCTTTGACTTGTAAGTTTAAAGAATTATAATGAAATAACATCTAATAAGGACAGGTTGAAATATTTTTGAATCCTGATGGTACATACTCATAAATTCTTTTGGAAAAATCCAGGTAAATTTAAATGTTGATTTGATAGCGTTCATTTATTTATTTGCCCTCGTAAACAGTTTTGTTAAAATACCGAAATCTGTAAATTCTTATCGTGAACGAATAAGTCGGGTACACCTTTTTACATTCAGGCGTGCTTAAGTTGCACTCTTTTCTTC